GAAAAAAACAGAATTTATTTGGAATTAACTTCGAACTTTGACTGCAGTTTTGAACGGCCAAACGACTTCAGAACGCCAAAATCCATCATACATCACAGCAAAGCTGTGAGTTTGACTCGTGGCATCGTTCCCTTTCCGAAAAGGTATTTTGCGCCCTAATCGGAGCTCGGACGACAATTCTGCAAATTCCCACCACGTCCTTTTCCTTGCTCAACCCCGATAAAACCTGCCACGATAAAATCTGCCATCTGTTCTACATCAGTCCCTTCCACCTCCGAAGAACTCGACCCCGAGTTATGATCTGGATAAAGAACCTCATCTTCACGGAACTCATATAAATCTGCAACATTAAAAATATTGGAAATTCCCATGGAATCTGGTAACTCAATAACATAGGCATTATCATTGATCCGTTTGAGCACTTTGTAAGGACCATATTTCTTCGGTTTAAGCTTGCTGTAAGTGCCAACTGGAAATCTCTCCTTCCTCAGAAATATCATCACAGAATCGCCTTCTTGAAACACTTTAACACGTCGATGCCTATCCGCAGCAGCTTTGTACTTAGCATTTGTTTGCTCAAGTTTCTGCTTGACCTCATCTCGAACGGCTACCACTTCCTCAGCCAAATTTTTCGCTGCCACACTGGTTTGCTGGCCTCTAGGCAGTTTCACCAAATCTACAACATGGTTAGGTATAGCAGTATAAACAATGGAAAATGGAGACCTCCCAGTAGCACTATGGACTGCACTGTTGTATGCAAACTCCACCTGCGGTAACGCATAATCCCATTGTTTCGGCTTCTCTCCACAGACGCTTCGCACCATATTGCCCAATGTTCGGTTTGTAACCTCAGTCTGGCCATCAGTTTGGGGATGGGCAGTGCTGCTTCGATTCAAAGTAGTCCCAAAAAGTCTCCACAAAGTGATCCAAAAATGGCTCAAGAACTTGGTGTCACGATCAGATGTAATGGATGTAGGAACCCCATGCAAGCGAACAACCTCCCTGAAAAACAGTTTGGCTATATTTGATGCATCGGCAGTCTTTTTGCAGGCTATGAAATGCGCCATTTTTGAGAACCGATCAACCACCACAAATACAGAGTCCACTCCCCTTTGTGTTCGGGGCAATCCGAGGACAAAATCCATAGCAAGATCCTGCCAAATATCGTTAGGAACTGGTAATGGCATATATAATCCAGTGTTTTGTACCTGCCCCTTCGAAGTTTGACAAATGTAGCACTTGCGCACAATAGTTCCAACATCACGTTTGAGCTGTGGCCAATAAAATCTCTCCTCCATCAATGCAATTGTTTTGTCACGGCCTAGGTGGCCACTCAATCCTCCACCATGCAAGTCCCGAATGAGCTTCTCCCTCAAAGAGGAAACTGGAATACACAGCTGGTTGCCTTTGAACAAATAACCTTCATTAAGAAAGTAATCTACCATTGGCTCTTGATTGGTGCACTTTGTCCAAATTTCCCGGAAATCGTCATCTCCTGCATATAATTCCTTCAGACATTCAAACCCCACAACTTCCTGAGTCAGCGTGACTAATAATGAAGCTCTTCTACTCAGTGCATCCGCCACACGATTTGTCTTGCCGGAAGTATGCTTGATAACGAACGAAAACTTCTGCAAAAAAGTCATCCATCTAGCATGCATTTTATCAATATTTTTCTGGCTGTTAATATACTTCAATGCTTGATGATCTGTAAACAAAACAAACTCCTTCTGGATAAGATAGTGCTCCCACTGCTTCAAAGCTCGAACAACCGCATAGAACTCTTGGTCATAAGTACTCCACTTTTGACGTGCATCGCTCAACTTTTCAGAAAAGAATGCAATTGGCCGCTTGTCTTGTGAAAGCACAGCTCCGACTCCCACACCGCTGGCATCACATTCAACTTCGAAAACTTTCTCAAAGTTTGGAAGAGCTAGAACCGGTGCGGTGCAAAGATTTTCTTTTATTTCTGCAAAGCTTCTCTCTTGCTCCTCTCCCCAGCTGAACCGGCCCTTCTTCAAACACTCTGTGATAGGTGCAGCAATGGAGCTAAAATGCTTCACAAATCTTCTGTAAAAGGTGGCCAAGCCATGGAAACTTCGAACTTCAGAAACTGTCTTTGGAGCTGGCCACTCAAGGATTGCCTTGATCTTCTCGTCATCTACCTGGATACCATTCTCACCAACAACAAAACCCAAGAACAGTAGCTTATTTGTGCAGAAAGTACATTTTTTTAGGTTCACATACAGCTTATTTTCTCTCAAAACATCTAAAACTTGTCTCAAATGCACAAGATGTTCTTCTTTTGTGGTACTGTAAATTAAAATGTCATCGAAATAAACAACGACAAAAGAACCAATAAATGGTCGAAGAACCTGATTCATGAGTCGCATGAAAGTGCTAGGCGCATTTGACAATCCGAATGGCATCACCAACCATTCAAATAATCCGTCCTTGCTCTTGAACGCTGTTTTCCATTCGTCTCCAGGTCGTATGCGAATCTGGTGGTAACCGCTTCGCAAATCTATCTTGGAAAACACCCTTGAGCCGCCAAGAACGTCCAGCATATCTTCTAACCGTGGAATGGGAAACCTGTACTTGACTGTTATCTTGTTGATTGCCCGGCTATCAACACACATTCGCCAAGTCTTGTCTTTCTTTGGAACCAGCAAAACAGGAACTGCGCAGGGACTCAAACTCTCCCGGATAAATCTCTAGCTCCAGGCACCAGGTCAATTTGGTGGAATCTAGCTCCAGGCACCAAGTCAATTTGGTGCTGTATGTCTCGCATAGGTGGCAGCTCGTTTGGCAGATTTTCAGAAAGTAATTCCTGAAATTGATCCAAAATCTTCTGCACATCTTGAGGAATGTCACCTTCTCCTCTGCCAATTTTCAACAACCCCTTCAACACCAAGGGACAAAAACACTCCGCTTCTTTGACAGCCTCGTTCAACTCCTGCTCGTTGCTAATTAGGGTTAGGAAACTAGAACTCCTCGTCTTGGCCTCAACAGATTGTTTTGAGGGCTGTGTAGTTGCCATTGCAATTTTCCGGTTGTTCCAAGAAAACAGAATTACATTATCTCGTCCCTTGAAAGTCGCATCCACATCAAATTGCCAAGGTCGCCCTAACAAAATATGGCATGCATCCATGTCAATAACATCACATAATACATCATCTCTGTAATGCTTACCAATAGACAGTGGCACTCGGCAAGTCTCAGCTACACGAACCGAAGGGCCTTTTTTAACCCAACCTAGTGAGTAAGGGCTGACATGTGGCTCCGTAGATAGCTGCAAATACTCCACCAATTTCTTTGACACGAAATTCTCGCAACTTCCATTGTCTACGATCACATCACATACCTTGTTTTTGATTGAGCAGAGGGAACGAAAAATACTATGACGCTGCCCTTCCTCCTTTGGTGCCAAAAGAACTCTCTGCAAAACCAAGGTAATCTTCTCCATTCCTTCCTCAACTGCAAATTCAGCCCCTGCATAATCATCTTCCCCGACTTCATCGTTTTCCTCATCTTCATCGGCTTCTTCGATAAAGTTAGCCTGCTTCCGCTCTGGACAAACATTAGAATGATGCCCTGGTTTTTGGCAACGGTAACATATGTCCGTCATGGGCTTAGCATACGGATTCAAGGACTGGTTTCGGGGCTGCCCTCTGTTGTAATTCCGGCTGCTGCCTTCGTTGAAGTTTTTGTTTTGGCCAACTGTTGCTGGTTTTGTCGATCCTCCAAGATTCTGCTGCTGTGCTTTCCCCTTATCTCCTGAGCCACTAGAAGCACCAGCAGTATATTCAGAGGCTTCCGTCGTGTTCCTGCGGAAGTTGGGTTGGCGTTTCTCCTTCTCCAATAGTTCAGCCTTCAATGCCATGTTAATCGCCTCCTGCAAAGTCCATATATTCTGCATACCAATTTTTTCCTGGATGAAAATCTTCAGCCCATTGTTGTACCTCGCGACCTTTTGATTGTCAGTCTCGGTCAAATGGTTTCGCTCTGCCAGACGCATGAATTCTTCGGTATATTCAGAAACCGAACGGGTGCCTTGCGCACAGCCCAGGTACATACGATAGAGAATCTGCTCATAATCTGTGGGCAAGAATCGTTCCATCATAAGCGACTTCATCTTCCGCCATGTTCGAACCCGCTACTTTCCTTGCCTCTGCTGTAAATTTTGCAATTGATCCCACCAAACAGCTGCTGTAGCTTTAAGACGGAAAGCTACCATCTTCACCATCTTATGCTCAGGAACCTCCATAATATCGAAAAACCTCTCCACTTCTACAAGCCAATCCAAGAAGTCTTCAATCTTCAGATTTCCCCAAAAGTTAGGAATTTCTGCTTTAATTCTATAATCGCCAAAATTCTCGTAATTACGATTACGATTACGAGGATTATTAGCCGGTGGTGGTGGTTCCTCAAGTTCTTCTTCTGACTCTGACTCACTATCTGGAATAAGTTGCCTCCTATTATCTCTTCTCTCGCCATCTCTACCTTCTCTTCGATTGTCATCCCTGCCTTCTCTTCTTTCGTCATCTCTGCCTCCTCGCCTATGGTTGCCACCAAGAGCTTGCAACAACAATTCTCGCATCTCCCCAAATTGGGTGGTTAGGTTGTCGATCCGTTGGTTTTGAACGTCCAGATCCGCTCGAGTAATTGGGGCTGGGACATCAGCTTCACGATCACCCATGATAAGACAAGAATACCGAGTCGGGAGAGACCCGCTCTGATACCACTTGACGCAGCACAAGCAGAAAAGGTTTCAAACGAAAACCTTGAGTAACAAGAAATCTGGATTCCACCAGAAACTAAGAGGAATCACTACTACAAAAAACACTTTGCACGACGAATGATTTTTGGTCACGCAAAGGAAAATTTCGTCGCGCAAAGTTTGCGCGACGAAATTTTGGTCGCGCAAGTTCTGTCGCGCAAAACTCGTGGAGAAAGGGTTTGCGCGACGGCGAAAATTATTCGTCGCACAAAGCCACTTTGCG